TGTCTGTTCCATGATTTTTCAGTGACGTAACTAGATGTTACCTGATTTTTCGTCCCGAGTTTCGTGACGTTACGGCTCTAGTGATGTGACCGTGGTTACGTGGTACGTGATTTACAGTCACTTGTGAGTTTTATTTACGTGGCTACTTGTTACGGGTTTTTAAGGAACTCCACTACGTGATTAGATGTTACCTGATGTTTCGAGTTCTAGCTCAGTGGATTGTTTTTACGTGTTACGTGAATTCAGCCATGCAACAACCTAGCACGTTATGCTAGGTCATTTTAGTCACGTGACTATATAGATTTTACGCGATGTAACGCGAATTTCAGTCCTGTGACCGTACTCTATCGCCAAACTAACTATCAGCACTGCTAAAGCTACGAGGAGTACACAGGCGGTCTCCTTGCGCAGCATATAATATAGTTCCGGTCGTAAATGTTTCGTTATGAACGAGATACGGAGGTTGTAGCGGTGCTTCTTGCGTGACGCCTTGAAGCGATATGTGGCGCGTCAGGCCCTTCACGTATACACTTCACATTTTATAAAACATTGCAGCGATTACCCACTGGTGGCCGTAATAGCCACCCTAACCACGAGGACGTACAGCAGCATGGCAGCCCCCATACAGCCCGAACCATCCGCTTCTAGCCGAATTTCTGCTTCTTACTAGCTCTTTACCCGGAGAGCAAGAAATAAACGGTGGTGTAATCTGTGTTCGGTGAGCCTCATCTAACACTGAAACAGGACTACCGAGGCGGTGCCTAGCCGTATGTCAAGCGAGCAGACGGAACAACAATATTAGCTCTGGTGCTGCGCTAACGATGCGAACCACCCTGAATATTAATAAATTTAGTACTGTGTTCTGTGCGAATACTTTGCAGTTCCACTCAAAAACTGGTGAGAACGTGCCCTGTACAAGTGAATTTCTAAACTTCAACGAAGCGGTGAGGTGGCGCTCCCGGATGACTTTTGTAGGCTTTTGCGGGTTATTTCAGCTGCATGGAGCAAGTATCGACAAAATAAATGATCCGACGCCAAATACACGACTTGACGCGGATGACCACGTCTTGAGAGGCTTTTCCCAGAGCAACGGAAAGTTTGAATCGATTCGGTCTTGTAAAAGAAATTGGAGAATGCTTAAGCTTCGCCTTCAAGGATAGATTGCGTTAGCGCAGTCGGGCCTCGTACGCATCGCCTGCTGAACTTCTATAGCCTACTTCTGTTCTCGGTGCTTGTCTCAGAAGTGCCGTAAGGAAACAAACGACTGCCCTCGTAACATTGGTTGTTTCAAAGTACCATTGAATGCCTATTGCAAGCATAGTGTTAAGCGCACTCTAAGCCGTATAATTGTTCCTTTTGCGAATCAGCGAAGGGCACACTACGCGTCAGTAGGGCGCAGCACGCAAACTTACGCAACTGTTGGCTTTGTTGATGGTTTCGCTGCTCATTATCATTAAATGCCCGAGCGCTTTGTAATGAGTGGGCCTTTAAAAGTCACACTCGATGCTGAATTCACTTCTTTTGACGCCGGGCGCAATCCTACGCTTCTGCCACGCAATATATGATGCGTTATAATGCATCATATATTGCGTGGCAGAATACCCTTTCGTATTGAACATTGCCGCATTGAGGCATAACCAAATGCCCGCAGCAACTCGAAAAAAGCAGTTCCTCTGAGAGAAACACGAGAACACCTTGTTTCATTCTTCCGAAAATCGGCCACAAAGCACGCCGGCGGCAATTCCCAGCCGTGGCCTCGCATTTATTTTGTCAAAGGTTGAACAGCCTCGCAAAATCTGTGCCCGCAACTATTAAAAGCGTTGAGAAGCGCCCGCGCGGAAATCGGCCGTCAGACGCGAATGTTCTTACACCCTGTCCACGGAAACGTGCATGAACAGCGCGCCAAGAGACACGTGCCACCACGCATTCAAGGGTCGTATAACGGTTTCAACCACAGTGCAGTTATGGCACGTAGAGATTCCCACTACTGGCCGACGATGCAACTGATCTCGAGTGGGGAGCAAGCCCGTGCCCAACCGCCAAACAAAGTCACGGAGATGGTCTGGCAACGCAGCTACAGTTATTCGTTCCTATGGTTGGCTCATTATAGATTGACAATGCTGGGGCCCCTACGGTCACATAAGGGCGGCCATTGTGTCCACCACTTTGAATTCAATGACCTCTATCTCTGAGCACGTAGCCTCCATACGTCGGTGAAATGCCGGGAGGGATCGATACAAAGAAGTTAATTCAGTTGATTTGATACCATAATTTATCTGGCTAGCTGGCACCATGAAACGTAGTAATGGTTTCAGGTGGTGAGCGGGCGTACCATCACTGCTTCGTATTAGCAGCAAAGTGCGGACGGCCGAAGGCAGAATACGCGACAGAAACGTTGGGGATGCAAATCCGCCTCGATCTCGTGGTTGAGCCAAATTCAGACGAGATAACAATTCTGTGCCACCAGAACAGCAAAACGAACTGACGAAGCTTTGCACTT